GTTCCGGAGTTACAATAAAATGAACAAACATTACTTCGTCAAAATAAACAAACGAGAATGACGTCACAATTATTTTACACGAATACTATGTCACAATTAACAAACAAGAATGACGTCACAATTAATTTACACGAATACTATGTCACAATTAACAAACAAGAATGACGTCACAATTAATTTACACCAATACTATGTCACAATTAACAAACAAGAATGACGTCACAATTAATTATTAAACGAGTTTGTCGGGACAATTAGTTGAACAAACAAATTGTCACTATGTCACTATTTCCTTACAAACGAGTACATCAATTTACATACATGTAAGTAAAACCATAAATGTTAACAAACAAGAATCATTAATTGACACAATTAGAATCTATGTCACAATTAACAAACAAGTCACAATGATTATACCGCAAACAAGAATGACGTCACAATTATTTTACTACTATTTTGATAGAATACTATGTCACAATGACAATTAATTTACACGACAGCTTTTAACTCTCGACGACAAGTTTTCAAACAAGATCACGAATATAATGTCACAATTAACAAACAAGAATGACGTCACAATTAATTTACACGAATATAATGTCACAATTAACAAACAAGAATGACGTCACAATTAATTATTAAACGAGTTTGTCGGGACAATTAGTTGAACAAACAAATTGTCACTATGTCACTATTTCCTTACAAACGAGTACATCATACATGTAAGTAAAACCATAAATGTTATCATAATTGACCTAGAATCTGACGCACAAGTATAAATAGCACCAAGTCAATAGATATAGTATTGTTACATGAATCGTACAATATACATGTGATACTCATCAGTGATAGGGGCCATAAGTGATGAAACCTGAGAGTCGACATTGACAAATCAAAGTACAATTATGTCGAAATGTATGTCGAAATAAAGAAATCGATATTAAGCTCATATTTCTGTTAATGTCGTATTTAGTATTGCATGATTTAAAAAGAACGTTATATCCTTAGTGTTTTGAATGTCGTTGAGTGTAAGGATGGTGAGAGTGTAACATTGATTCGTATTGCGGGGCTATTTTCAGGACATTCAACCATGATTAATCACAAAAACATCTCAAATGACCATTTATTATTTCGCGGTAGTCACTCGTGAAAGCATCGCTTTTTCGAGTCACTCAAATTTTATATAATTGTTGTGTATGTGAAATCAAATCAAATGAAGTCAGGACACAATGTAAATCGGGAGAAAAGAAATTCATACTGTATCTAATTACACTACCTGAAAGACCTCAATCAACAGTATCGTTTCAGTTGAGAACAAAACAGATGTTTTCGCTCTCAAGTTGTCAACCATATTTGTATTTTCTCTTCTATTTTCGAGTGACCACTTAGGCTAAATCTGTGACGTCATTACATGAGTACGGTTACCCTGAATCAGCACTTAACAAAATGTAAATCATTGACGGAAAAGATATGACACCACAATTTCTGAGTTGTCAGGTACAACGTATATTTAGGGCACACAGACCACATGTACATCAACAGCATCCTATATAGTCATTATTGTATGTAAGTTACGATGTCATTCCCATGAACAGCCATGGTAAAGTTATCCGGTATCTTTTTATGGTAGTTGTTGGCTACCTTACTGAACAACATACAGGAGATCCGTCTCATGCGTCCACGGCGATTTGGGACACGTGTTTTGCCAAGAGATAAAACACTTTACCCCAACTGCTCCAGATGACTTGCTGTTATTCTTATCAGTTCATGACACCGGTTTGACCTTCCAAAGTTAAGCCTATGCGATGATGTAATACATATTCTTTTGATCTTCAATATAAATGTATCTTATAAGTCTGATGTTATTTGATTATTTATACCTAGAGGACAGAATAAGTCTACGTAATTCGCGCTTACCATTTTCTGTTTTAATTAGAATTAAAAATCTGTTTATTCTCGTTGACTTAACATTTTGAAATATTCGTAAAACGAATATTCGACATATCCACGAATTCCTAATTTCAACAGGAGCAATCGTTTGTACTAGTATATTATTGAAATATTGATGATTTCGATAATGTATAGGTTGGTTTGTTTATTTATTCATTATTTTTTTATTCTTATAATATCCTAGATTAAAGGAGTTACGCTTTAGTGCTTTCTCACTTCATCAGTGTTACAGATCACTGTATTTAATGTAAACACTGAGGTAGGACGGTAATCACAGTTGAGAGAATGCCCTTACATCACCGAAACAGTCCCCATGAGTAATCACAGGGGGACGATGTCCTTACATCACCGACACTGTCCCCACGAGTAATCACAGGGGGGCGATGTCCTTACACCACCGACACTGTCCCCACGAGTAACAACAGGGGACGATGTCCTTACATCAACGACGCTGTCCTCACGAGTAACAACAGGGGGACGATGTCCTTACATCACCGACACTGTCCTCACGAGTAACAACAGGGGTAGGATGTCCTTACATCACCGACACTGTCCTCACGAGTAACAACAGGGGTAGGATGTCCTTACACCACCGACACTGTCCCCACGAGTAACAACAGAGGGACGGTGTCCTTACATCACCGACACTGTCCTCACGAGTAACCACAGGGGACGATGTCCTTACATCACCGACACTGTCCCCACGAGTAACAACAGGAGGAGGATGTCCTTCCATCACCGACACTTTCCCCTCGAGTAACAACAGGGGGACGATGTCCTTACATCACCGATACTCTCCCCATGAGTAATCACAGGGGGACGGTGACCTCACGAGTAATCACAGGGGGGGGGCGATGTCTTTACATCACCGACACTGTCCCCACGAGTAATCACAGGGGGACGATATCCTTACATCACCGATACTGTCCCCACGAGTAATCACAGGGGGACGATATCCTTACATCACCGATACTGTCCCCACGAGTAATCACAGGGGGACGGTGACCTCACGAGTAACAAACAGGGGGACGATGTCTTTACATCACCGACACTGTCCCCACGAGTAATCACAGGGGGACGATGTCCTTACATCACCGATACTGTCCCCACGAGTAATCACAGGGGGACGATGTCCTTACATCACCGACACTGTCCCCACGAGTAATCACAGGGGGACGATGTCCTTACATCACCGACACTGTCCCCACGAGTAACAACAGGGGGACGATGTCTGTACATCACCGACAATGTCCCCATGAGTAATCACAGGGGGACGGTGACCTCACGAGTAACAAACAGGGGGACGATGTCTTTACATCACCGACACTGTCCCCACGAGTAATCACAGGGGGACGATATCCTTACATCACCGATACTGTCCCCATGAGTAATCACAGGGGGACGGTGACCTCACGAGTAACAAACAGGGGGACGATGTCTTTACATCACCGACACTGTCCCCACGAGTAATCACAGGGGGACGATGTCCTTACATCACCGACACTGTCCCCACGAGTAATCACAGGGGGACGATGTCCTTACATCACCGACACTGTCCCGATGAGTATATAGGTGACTTTGATCACGTTGTTATGACTGATAAAAAAAGTCCCAGACCCATATCATTTGTGTTGATTCCTGAACATCTATATGAACCGTAGGAATACGTGTATATATACTTTATAATTTACGTAGGTTCAGTAAGTTAATTCAAATGAACAAAATTGTCATCAGGAAGATTTATATACAAAGCGGACCTATGTTATCCGACATTTTGTAGAACGCAGCTAAAATTCAAGTTCGCCTGTCTAACCCGATAACGTATGGGATACATTGAAATTAACATGATATTGGTAAGGAAAATATGTGTAAGTTATCTCCTTGTTTCATACATAGTGATGTTCACATCAAAATTAATGTGTCTTGTCCGACATCATTTGCAACACAATAGATCAGTCAAGTGAACCTGTCTAATTCGACACCCTCGGGAACAGCGGCAGCTGGTGTATACATTAAGAAATACTATATGTAAAAGTGGTATTATTTCTATCATCCAAGAAATCGTAATCGTTTATCCACTTTTTAACAATTAGCTTCCGAAATAAGATATCAGCAATTAGAGAACACGCAATGAATGCACACAGTTTGAGGTTAAAGACCCTGCATTACACAAACCAATCTCTCAATACAAAATCATGAAGAATACTTTTGAAGTAGTTTGTGACTTTTTAATAGAATTTCACCAATGATGATATACTTAAAATCAAGTGGACAATAATTTATAATCAGAATTAATTTAAACGCTTTATGCAAAAACAGTCGCATAAAAGTGTTAGCGATGTCCAAGGAGTGGTTACAATGATAGACGTTCCGAACTTACTAGAAAATACAGTATCTCCAAATAACGATATTTGCATATCTTATATAATAGAGTGCAGACAGGTAACGTATATTGACAAAACAGCATTCATAAATGATATTAAAGTCAATCGATTTTATACCGGGTACCGATTTATGCTCCACACGGTGATACACTAACCCTGCCGCTAATTTCCTGAGAAGAGCGCTAAGCTCGAAGCTTCAAACCAATCCCTGTAAAGTGGGCGGGGTCTAATGGTTGTAGAATCGCACGTGTTGCATTTAATCTACAGATAAACGCCTTCGTTTGTATACGGTTCTCAAGACAGAATGGGCGTTATCATTACATTGTGTCTTGTACCATTCTGACCAAAAGTCTTTAACAGATTATATATCATGTGGCTGCTGGAATAACGTTAGAGAAGCGGCATAACTTTGTCTTGGAGCTGGACTTCTGGAAAATTTGTTAACATTCAACACCATTGGCTGACGTGTGACTCAGTTTTTTGTTTGTATTTTCTTTTTTTTTTTTTTTTTATTATTATTTTCTAAACTTATCTCTATTAACGGTAGTTATCAATCAAGATACACTGACTGCTCCCTGTTGGATAAAATGGTACCGGTCTTTGAAGAATCTACATATGTGATTAAAAACTGAAAAAAACTTCTTAAAGTGTTTGAAACATACTAACATGGAACGAAAGCAAAATGTTCCTGCATTCTCTATTGAAAATATTCTTCACAAAGAAAAGGGAAAGGAATATTCAGGAGAGTTTTGTTTTAAATATGGACAGGATTTCACAAATTTCCATTCAAACGGCGGTACTTTTTCCAAAGATAAAAAAGACCCAGAATTTTGTGATGGACGTTCTGAAGATGAAATTGACATTGAAGGATCTGACTCGGAATCTGTGACGTCTGATGGTTCAATTTCTTCATCACCGACTGCGGAAATCTTAAATTTATCGATTCGGACGAAAAAGACGGACGCATCATATCAAATAGAGGACTTCATGCCAAATAACGGACAACCCTCTATAGGAAAACAAACAGGTATATCGCTGAGATTGACAGAATCACAGCTTTAAATGATAGAATATATCGTTCATTCTCGCAAAGGTATTTTAGTAAATAGTGTTATTCTGAAGGGCTTGGTTCTTTGAAATACATTTTGCACTTCCGGGCTTTTTGACAAGTACCGTCACCAAGAACAGGTTTTGCTTTTCCTAACAAAATACAGGATCTAAAATGAATTTTCACTGCAAATTTGATTATTATTCTCATTATTATTATTACTGATATTATTAGTATTTGTTTTGGTTTTTGCTAGAAAGAAGTAAAACTACGAAAAAATCTCATGTGAACTAGAAACACATTTAAGTTACTTTTTATCAAAAAGGTGACATTTTGATAGATTTCTTCAGGTACAATATATGACGTTAAATATGGAAATCGTGAAGAATGTCTTCGTGGTAGTCAAGGAATAAATCTTATCGACGAGTTTACAGTAATACACTAAGTTATTACGTGACTTGTATAGTGTAGGTTATGATAAAAACAACAATGAGATAAACACTTAAACGAGAATATTGTACACTACCAGAAATATAGTGTTATTCAAATTGTACACTAACAGCAATAGGGTGTTATTCAAATTGTACACTGCCAGAAATATAGAGTTATTCAAATTGTACACTACCAGAAATATAGTGTTATTCAAATTGTACACTAACAGCAATAGGGTGTTATTCAAATTGTACACTACCAGAAATATAGTGTTATTCAAATTGTACACTAACAGCAATAGGGTGTTATTCAAATTGTACACTGCCAGAAATATAGAGTTATTCAAATTGTACACTACCAGAAATATAGTGTTATTCAAATTGTACACTAACAGCAATAGGGTGTTATTCAAATTGTACACTACCAGCCAGAACTGCCAGAAATATAGAGTTATTCAAATTGTACACTACCAGAAATATAGAAATATAACAGCAATAGGGTGTTATTCAAATTGTACACTGCCAGAAATATAGAGTTATTCAAATTGTACACTGCCAGAAATATAGAGTTATTCAAATTGTACACTGCCAGAAATATAGTGTTATTCAAATTGAACACTACCAGAAATATAGTGTTATTCAAATTGTACACTACCAGAAATATAGTGTTATTCAAATTGTACACTACCAGAAATATAGTGTTATTCAAATTGTACACTACCAGAAATATAGTGTTATTCAAATTGTACACTACCAGAAATATAGTGTTATTCAAATTCATGAATCCTTTTACCTTCTTACCTGTCGTTCTCTCCGAAAAATTCCCTTGTCTTTCTATCACTATTTTTTATATTTATAATCGTGAAATAATACACGTTTTTTATTATTTTGATAGTCTTATATCGGTTTAATCATTTCATCCTAGCTAAACTCAGGGGGCATACCTATTCCATTGACATGATGAACTCAATTAATTTTTTAATATTTTGTAGTGCCACAGATAACAGAAACAAATGAAAGCAAATCGCATCGAAACATTTTTGTAAGGTCCAAATTGTTGTAATTTTCGTCGTCAATAACAATAGTTTGAACCTCACAGAAATTCGCCAGGGATAATCAGAGGAGAAAACCGTTGTGACATACACTACATAATCACTTATATCATATAATGATTTCAGTTGATTAAACATATATAAATATTGACTCCTTATCACCCAATACGTCAGTCGGACTAGTTTATGATATGGAAGTCGTGATTGTATCAATAATTTAATGTAGGAACCTAGAGAATCTCCCGGGTATACATTATAAATGAACGGATCAGTTCTTTGTTAAAGTAGACAGTGAATTTTACTTCTGTAAATAAACCTGACTTCGGTTAAGTTTAAATCCCCAAATACAAAATAATATAAAAGATCTCTTTCATTATATACTCATTTACTTCAACATGTTCTACATTTCAAAAATCGGCAACACTCATTTACACATAAAATAATTAACAATGAATATATTCAGTTCTAATTTGCTACCCACGTGTGAGCTTGAGATACCATCCATAAATACAAAACATCTAGTCCTTAAAATTATTATATTTAATTTCTCGGTGTAGAGTTTCTTTTCTTTCGTCACGTAAGCCGTTATTTTGTACACGATTAAAGACTTGATGTCTAAGGGAGACAGTGATAAGGATACTTATATAGCCAAAAGGTTAAGTTGTCACAATGGTCGGTAAAAGGTTGAGATAATGCTTGTAGTACATGTGTATAATTGACTTCAAAACAGGTGCGTGCTTGTGGCCTGGTGAAAGACTTCTTCAAATCACTTATCTTATATTTTATGTAACATCAGTATGTACAACCAAGTTACCACCAATAACACTATTGGTAGATTTATAGTTAAACTACTGGAGGTTTGATCAACTCGCGAGACATCAATGTCATACTCGTCATATATTGGAAACATTAAGTGATAATATGGCTTAATATACTTACTGATTTAAGATACAATGCATTTGAAGAATTCTCTGATTCTTTGCGAATCTTTAAAACAACAACACACAAGTTAGTTTTCACCATTCTGAGAAACTGGTGAATAAGAAAGAATAGATAAATGAAAATAAATAATTAAATAAAATAAATAAGTAGATAAATGAATAAATAAACAGTGATTCGATTATGCAATGTTATGCTCTTCCGCTTGGAGGAACTATAATAATAATAAAAATAGACACTATCTGAAAAAAGAGATTACATCATTTTGAGACACATTTGAATTTTAATGTAGGCATCAGAAACATACCCGACCAATGAAAGTGACTTAAATGAGAGATCAAAATAGATTAAACATATTGTTTCCAAACAACGATGAGGGGTTTATATACATTTGTGTACATTTATATATATTTACAACCCAAAAGAAAGCATTCTATTTTTGTTATGAATCATTGTTTATGTTTTGGTTTTACTTTGGAACTTTTCATTTATACCCAGGCGTGTGCACATTTATGGAAAAGAAACCAGATAGAATCATTCAGGGGCAAAAACCAAGGAAAAAACGTTCCCGTGCTGCATTCTCCCACGCGCAGGTATTCGAACTAGAGCGGCGATTCCAACACCAGCGCTATTTATCGGGACCAGAGAGAGCAGATTTAGCTCACGCACTGAAGCTTACTGAAACACAAATAAAAATATGGTTTCAGAACAGACGATACAAGACAAAAAGACGTCAAATACAACAGGAACAGAGTCTGGCAGGCTCTGCAAAGAAAGCCGCAGTGACATTGTTAGTCAAGGACGGGAAACGGATATATAATCCAGGGGAGATCACTCGACCTGTACTGATACCATCCGTCCCAATATCTGGTTTTTATCAGTACTGTTATTTCTAATAAACGTTTGTTAATCAATATTTATTAACTTTATTGCATATTTCTTCATAATTAAAGTCATGTGGTCACACGGTGTACATTACATATGTGTATCATTCGTCCAGCGATTTTAAGGCAGAATTTCATCAATTAACTGGTCACATCTCGATCAGTTTCACCAATATCTACATCAAGTACATTTTAAGTTCCATGTGTAAACATTTCTATTAAGTTTAAGCATTATATATTTATGTTCAAACTCAGCAAACAATGATAATAAATAAGGCAAGTTAGATATTTTCCAATTCCAACCGGAAAAGTTAGCAATCGTTCTTTCCACCAGGTCGTTTCAGAAATTCAAAGACCAATCAGATTGACGTTTCATTCAAATTACGATGCAAATTCTTTAATGTTAGCCGATTGTAGATCAAACTTCGTCCTGCAAACACGCCTGTTGCGCAATTTGTGAAGACAATTAGTTAGAACTTCTGAAATTGTTAAATACACTTTTTATTAAAAATATCAGAATTCCAACAATCTTTGATAAAGATGCGAGACAACATCACATGACATTGTGTGGTAAATCAGGAACAACGATGACGTCATATAATTTGCTTTACAGTTTCTATCATTTGCTTTCAAACTTAACAATAACGACGTTGTAGGAGAAACAAAACCGAACTTATAATATTTTCAGAAGTTTGTCGTCTAGTATAAATTGACCAGTTAACTTGAATTTCCGTTCAGGAGCACATATTCGTGTTCCATGGTGATTGCTGAAAGAAGTTGGTGTCAGAGGTGAAAAAACGGCGTTATAAAACCAGTGTAGACGGAACACCGTCGTGTATGAGACGACGCCACATAGCTATAGTAAAATCTATGTAGACGATTGGACTCTGCACGGCGACGGGCAGGGTCAGGGAGACGAAAAACTTTCATCATCATCATCATCATCATCATCATCATCATCATCGTGGTTTATAACGATATAAATAGTCACCTGGGCGTTAACAGTGGCCAGTGTTGGAGACAAGAAGGAACGGACACGGGGAACGAGCTCGTGATTTCGTTATCATTGTATATAGCTCGGGCTATTGCAATGTGAGCTAGAATGTATAGGAACTAAACCTGGTGTTTCAAGTTTTCATCATACTTTTTGACGAGAATGTGACGAAAACTTAAATTCCTTTAGTAAACAACATTTATGAGTATGCATTCCAACAGACTTACCGTTGGTCCAAACAGCTCACGAGCATGTATACACTGATACAGATTAATACGTTCTGTGTTATGTTACATCTTACACTGCATCTCGGACCTTGAACGTTAAAAATGTTTCATGATTAAATTGATACTCACACATCACTCGTCCTTCTGAATGTATTTTTCATGCTTATGATTTCCAATCCAAACAGTGTGCTTTTGAGGTCAGTTACTGCCGACGTAAAATCAACTTTAAGTTGTAATATCAACATTGGAGTATTCTGAAACATTTTATCTCCAATTCCATTAAATCAACCCAATATTGAAGCAAAACAACTCTTTCAATATTATTTAGAAAAGGTCAATCATTACAGTATAAAACTTCATATGTTTTGCATATTATTACAATAATACGTTGATATGAGATGGTTACGTTACAGTATGTATTTTTTATTATTATGATTTATAAATAAGGATACAGTGCTCGTTATGATACCTGGTGAGATTGCACCTGGACTATCATGCCAGAATCCCTTCGGAACTCCACAGTCTGTAGAAAATCAATTCTCATAGCGGGTTATTAAGTGGTGCACTTATGAGTAAATTGTCCTTTGTGGTAACAACCTAAACAAATATCCAGCCGATCTGATAGCGATTTGTCGGGATTTAGGACCGTGAGGTCTGTTGATAAGGGTCGCTGTATCTCTAGGTGTCGAGGGAGGATTGAGGACATCGCCGTTACAAGCAGGATTGATGTGACGAAGTGTGACCTTATAAAATATCAACGTCACGGGGTTTCCGGGGTTTCCGGGGTTATCCAGGGTACATGATGAACACGTGTCATTCTTAATGTTAAAAATGTATCGAACTTGACAAAAAGTTTAAAAAATAAGTGGTTTTATTTTGGGGTAAAAACCGGAAACAATAGCCTGACCTGCCATCGTCAAGTGAAAACCAAACATGTTATGTGGTCGTGATGTAATGGTTAGGACGTTGTAGAATTTCGTGGGCGATTTGGTGTCGTATATCATGAGTTCGTGGTCCAGTTAGGGCACGAGTCAAAACATTATGTTCTTTCGTCGATTGTGTTACAATGTATAATAAGTATGATATACTCATCATGAAATATTCTGAACACCTTAAATATACAAGTTTTGAAATCATTACAAGGAAGGTTGATCATGATCAAAACTCTGTGAAAAACTAATAATATAACATGTGTTTAAATGCATAGCTTATAAATCGGACATTGAGCGAGGTTTTACCCTTATTTTAATGGTTTTGTGTTGAGTTTGATTGTGTACAAAATAATTTTAATTTGTTTAGGAATGAAAAATCAATAAAAAAAATCCGGACAGACCTTGTATAAAAGATACATTAGTATATAACAACATGTACATTAGGATAATCTCATAGATAGTCAGAATACATTAATAACACCATTCTGGTGCCCCACGTTTCTCTTAAAACGATAAAATATAACATATAACTAATCAAGTTAAAGACGCAGATAAGAAGATCACACGGGGAGGAATAAGGAAAACAACAAATTTTGTCTTTTGTTTGTAACAATCTCTCTTCGATGTCTTCCAAAATCTTATTAATATGTTTTTCCTGAAAACAATAGCCATAATGGAACTGCAAATACAACAACAAGTGATTACTTACGCCATAGATTCGTAAAATAGAAAAAAATGATACAAATATCGTATAGACGACATATCGCGTGTCGTTGAACGGTTCCGTGACACATAGAAATACCAAGTTGTATAGAAATGTCGACATCCATTAATATTCCTAATCTCATTAAAAAGCCCACAAATGAGTCGAACAATTGATCACCTGACCGAGAAGCATACAGGTAAAGTAAATCGGAAATTCTGCGACAATAGTTGCCTTGTGGCGCCATCTGCCACATGCAGGAACAAAAGTGCGAGTCAATGAAATGCCATGAAAGGACTGTAGAAAAGGCGGAGGATATGTTGATTTTAAAGTAGAACTTTGTCTATTCCCCACGGATATGTGCCTCATATCCGGACTGAAACAATGGAGCACTTGGAAAATTGCTTCCTTTTGGAAATAATTTTAAGTACCTACAGATTAATCGCAATTGATCTTTCGCCTACCTAGGGCAATAGCCGGCATGAACGATAGTGAGGGCATGTATCGATCATTGACTTTGTTAATTAGCAAGTATAATAATTGTCTTTGTATGAATTTTAAGAACAGTTAAGATAGTATGTATGTTTCGTTTTGGCCCATTTCGTCGCCCATTGGTATTCTTACACACACATATATATACATAGGCCAATACAAAATACCTATCTTGTACGGAAGCAGTCGTCCATATCTCACTCCGTCGTAAACCAAATAATTAACATATCGGTCTACTGTAACAAGGAGGAGTTCATCGGCTCCTGCTTCAAACAAAATGTAAAATATCCTCTTCTAAACATCCAATTTTCACACGTGTATTCGGACAGCAAAAACTTTATGTTTGTATACTATGTTGACTGAATCAGACATTTTTTCGTGCTGTTTAATTACAGCACGAAAAAATGTCTGATTCAGTCAACATAGTATACAAACATAAAGTTTCTGATTGCCAATATAATGAAACGGTAGAAAATGAGATTGCACTCACTTCGGATACACACAGACCAGTCTGAAATGATCATAGTTGTTGATAAGACTTCAAACAACATAGAACTAAACGGTTTTGTACTTTTTACGTAGGACGAATTTTGATCGGGAAAAATATTTATTTGAAACATTTGCGCCATTACTGGAATGGTCTATAATGAATTCCCTGAAATGAATCAATCCCTTCAAGTTTTTACTTTATTCAACAAGTTGTAAAATTCATATCGTTTTGTATTATCTGAAAACTCGACGCTTAGCAAATCTATATCACAACAGGAGTGGAAGCTGGCTTTCAATATTGTCGAATTTATCTTCTTCAGTCTTTAATAATCAGGTCCAGACAACAACACTAGCGCCGTCTGGCGTTAATTACTATGTAGCAAACATCAGCGCCCCCTACATGTGGTAATCCTTATCAGCGGTCAGGGTCTGTTCTATGTTTACAGGCATGAGTTATAAGATCGCTGTGATTTTGTTTGTTTGTTCTCATAATCAGTGACCAATGTAACACGTAGATTCTGTAATGGATTCCGAGCTTTTAAAACGCTTTGATTCTGAAGTTTGCTTATTTATATTAGACGTTTCAAACAGATTTAGAGGCATGCTATTCGGTATTTGTTTACTTATGATTTTATCGAACCGTTTATTCCTGGCAAAGTTGCGAGAATTCCACCGGTTAATAGTGGTCTCTCTTAACACGTGTATCTGTTGTTTCTTTCATTCAGACATTTCTGAAAAAAATACGATAAGAAAGGTGACATTTTCTGCTACTTGACATATACATTATTGTTTGCCATGCCACGGACTTACCAAATTGTATAACGCGACGTTATATTTATTTAAAAAATAACACAAAATAACAAAAGAAAACACAAAACAAACAACAAAAAAAAAAAAAAAACAGATGGTGGAACATTTGACGTATTTCTCACTAAATACTGACAATGGTGGAACAATTGATGTAATACTCACTATATACTGACAGTGGTGGAACAGCTGACGTAATATTCACTATACTTCATCCGAAATCCACACTCCTTTGTCCACTGAGTGAATTCAGTATTTTCATAAAAGTTGATGTAATACTCACTATATACTGACAATGGTGGAACAGTTGACCTGATTCTCACCATATTCTGACAATGGAGGAACAATTGATATAATACTCACTATAT